TAACAGCCGTTTGACGTTGATGTATGTTGATGTTGGATTTTTCGCGAATGCGATGCAGACATCCACAGAATTGCTGATTGGTGGTGACTGGAACATGAATGGATTATGACTTTCCCATCATATTGGGAATGTCATCATCCCAACTGTTACTCACTCCATCATTTTTCAGAGGGGTAGGTTGAAACCACCAACCAGAACAGGGTTTCGACATGTTTTGCCAAAGCCCTGTAAAAATCCATCAAGGAAAACGAAAAAAAAATAGCCATGTGACCTGCACCAGCGATTTCAAGCTTCAACGGCACAGCTGTGTTGCCATGTTGCGCGGCTGCCTCGGCGTTCGTCACGCTGCAGTGCCGGCACTGCTTCCGGGCAGGCTGGCACTGGGCGTCAAGACATATAGAGAGAAGACGATTTCTGTTGGTTTTTATCCAGCTATAAATGGATTATTCACGGTTATAGTATGTAAATTCGGGGATGTTCAGCCGTGAATCATGGCAAATCCATACCAAGTTTGGGTTTCTTTGGCCAAGGACAATCACATGTGGTGTTACATTTGGTGTTTCATGGCATCATATAGTATCTATTCTTGTCATTTCTTGTCATTTCTTATCATTTCTTGTGTACCCTCCGGTAATTTAACGTAGCTATTGAAAATGGTGATTTATAGTGGATTTTCCCATTGAAAATGGTGATTTTCCATAGCTATGTTAGTTTACCAGAGGGTATCCTTGGTGTATCATCATCATTTTTCGATATTTTTCGTAGGTTGATAAGCTTGACATAGCTTGACTTTCATGGTGCAAGGTCCATTGCTTCCCTGGCGGCGGCATCTGCTGGGCCTCTGGGCCTGGCAAAACTAAACGCTTTTTTTTGAAGATGTTTAAATATCCAAATGGGTTTATTATAGATGGAATGAGGATATATATATATATATATGATATATATATATATATGTATTATATATATCTATATATATATATTGATATATGATCCAAATGGAATTATAGATGGAATTATTTTCAAAAAACCATTATAGATGGGATATTACCCATAGGATCCATGGTGCTGGTATATTAATGCTAACATTGGGGGTATATTGGTGGTAAATGTTACCATATATAGCATACATGGATCCTATGGGTTATATGG